TCTCTCTCTCTCTCTCTCTCTCTCTCTCTCTCTCTCTCTCTCTCTCTCTCTCTCTCTCTCTCTCTCTCACACACTCACACACACTCACACACACACACACACTCCTGGCCCGGAAGCACAGGCACCAGCCCCACAGCATCTGTAATCTCCTTTTGCACAGGGAAACACTGGAGTGGTGTAGGGGCTCAGCTCTATTACTGTGTGTGTGTGTGTGTGTGTGTGTGTGTGTGTGTGTGTGTGTGTGTGTGTGTGTGTGTGTGTGTGCCTATATGCATATCGATGATACACCAGGGGTGGGCTGTGAAAAGTAGCACAAGCATCAAGAAAGCACTCCTGCTCAGTAGATCTCTATTTAAGGCTCATTCTCTTTTGTTTTTGACTGTATTAGGGAAGACTAAGGTCACGCTTTCCACACAATAAACACTTTTATTACATCTCAGCAGGGTCACACACACACACACACACACACACACACATACACACACACACACACACACACACACACACGTGACGCTAACTTCTGGGTTAGCCTACAAAAATATGTAATCACTGCACCAACTAATGGGCCCAGAAACAGGTATTTATGTACTCAAGAGTCAGGTCATTTTGGCTGCATGCGCCCCTGAGTAACTTTCATAGGAATGAACCGCGCCCCTTCACTTTATACATTCATGGTCAGCCCTGGACTATAGCATCATTAATCATGTTCACCGTACACGCATGCTCTTGCACATTAAAGACCTGGCGTGTACCGACTGTATCAGTCTCTTGGAGTTTTTAGGTTTTTGATTGAGTCTGCTGACATGTATCCATTAAGAGAGTGTTTGTGCATCTGCTGAAGGCTTATGGTCTTACAGGGCAGGCCAGTGTTTGCCCACACAGGAAGCTGTGGTAGCACGATTGAATCGACCCACAGTGTATTTTGGGATTTAGCAACCAGTGTCCATGTTCTGTTATCAGAGAGGAGCTGTGATTGTTCGTGTTTGTCCTAACAGCCTCTCTCTCCCTGCAGGTCCACAATGTGTCCTTCTCCTTTGAGCTGATGCAGGATGGAGGTCTGGAGAGACCAAAACCCCGGCCAGAGGGTAGGAAGCACATTTAACTGGGGATATAAACTTTTTTTTGTAATTCTGATTTGAGAAGATATTTTCCCGTTACCTGTTGATTGAACTTGTATCTGATACTTTGAAAAAACCCAGAGAGCAGCCTGCAGCATCCCCTGTTTAGTAGACTTTAGGCTGCAGACATCATCTACACATATTGCATTCATTTTAAGGCAGTTCGGTCAAAAACTGCATCAGGCGGCTGTGGCTCAGGGATAGGGAAGTGTAAGATAAATGACATGTGATATAATGTAACAAAGGTATAATCGGTAACTACAGGCGTGTGTCTCATTCAGCCGCTTCACTACATCTTACACCAAAACAACAATCTGTATTAGTTTTTCACAAAGAAATGAGCTGTAACTTTTACATGGCCTTATTATATGATTGTAATCATTCAAAATATGTAAACTTGTGAAAACTCTCAATCTGACAAAAAAGAAAGAAATTGGGCCTTGGGATAGCTCACCTTGTTGAGTTGGTCCCATGTTCCGGGACTCAGAGGACCTGGGTTCGATTCTGATCTGGGGATCATATACACATGTTATCTCCCCAGTTCAAATCTGTCGCTATAATAAAAGCACAAGAGGCCCAAAAAGATATCTTTACATCAAATACTTGTTTTTAAATACAATTAACCATTAACTGTTTAACATACTGGTTATTATAAAGACAATGTGTAATTATACATTTATCTACCTAGTATTCATCTTAACCTTAGCTGTAAGTATGGCTCCAAGATATGTCTATATAGAACTTATTATGATTCATTTATTCTTTCTCTCTTTTTTGTTTCTCCAGATATAGTGAACTGCGACCTTAAGTCCACACTGCGCGTCCTCTATAACCTCTTCACCAGGTACAGGAACGTGGACTGAGCCAAGCGTGGAAACATTATTTTATGGACCACATGTTTTTCTTCCTTTTGGTTGTATCTTCATTTATCTGAAAGCATACCGTATATCACATTCCTTGTTCCATCATTTACCACACAAATCTGTATTTTTTTAATATATCCTTGAAAGACACAAAATGCATGACTTTATATTGTAAATTGGAAAATGCTTTACAGTCCCAGACATCTACATACGATTTTTGAAGTCATAAATAATTCTGTACGGATTTTTGTCGCCCTGCATTGATATCATGAAAGGGAGATTTAAAGATAAGCATTTTTTAATTCAGAAAAGAAAAGGTTTAACTGTATTTATTGTACATTTTTGATACACCTGTTTAGTCTTACTTATCCATGTTTGCATCTCTGCTCTTGTTTATGTCATTAATAAGTGCCTTTTATTTTAAACACGTGAACACTACAGCATGCACTGCATTGCTCCACTGTTGTCTTAACGTTCCAGATTTATTTTGCATGTGTGGAGTGATATTTCAAATATTTGACCAAAGCTCTGTTGTCCTCACTGTAAAACACAAAGGCTTTACTCCACAGGCAATCTCTGTCTTGTGTATGATTAAAGTCAACATTCTATTATCACTTTTCTTTTTGTGGTTTTATTCATCTCATGTTGCCCTTCCCTTTTTACCCAGTTCCGATTCGGAAATGTGTTGGTTCTCCCAGTTTCGCAATGGCAGCGTTGTAAACAATGAATTGTATTGAGGATCATTTACAGCTACGGAATGATTTTAAACTACCACATCCATAATATGATAGTGGCTACCAGGATGACATATGAAAATGGCTAAAAATGTAAGGACACCTTTCATAACTCTGTAGTGTTTTTGGTGTAGTTGGCTCTACTGTGAGGAACTACAAAAAATAAAGAAGCACATTGGTCAGACTAAAGCAAATGTCAATAGCTTTTATAAAATCAACTTAACATGGAGACCAAATCCAAATAATCGGTCTGTGTGCTATTAATATAGCAATCATCGGCTATCTTTTTTACAAGCTGGCTAGCATACGTTAGCTACCTACCGAACTAGTGTTCTAGCGAACGTTGGCAATCTACTTAACAATATAGCTAGCAAAAGTTAGCTATCTACTTAACAAGATAGCTAGCTATTGCCAAATTGGTGGCTCTTGTAATTTAAAATAGAATATTATTTTATACTCTATGCCTATGGTTTAACTTGCAGAGTGAACCTGTGTCTACCGTTCTGCCAGTGAGAGTTAATAAAAACATTGTTGTACTGATTGAAGCCAACCGGACGCTCTCATACAGCCATTAGCTTCTCACAGCACCAAACATTGCTGTTTATACCCAAATATGTGATATTTGAATAAAATAATCACATATTTGTAATCTAAATGTTCAGGCACTCTGAAAGTTTTTTTTAACAACAGTTCATTCAAAAGCTTGAAACTGGTTTCTTTGGCAAATTGTTGATAAAGCTGGTGACGCTATGCTAAGTCTTAGCACTAACACTCCGGAAATACCAACAACAACAAATAAGGCAATGCGGAAGCGCCCTAAAGCATGGCAAAGCACAAGGTGAATCCTATAAATACATCACATTTAAACAAATATTTTATTACGTTTTTAAGTAGGATTTATTTTCTTCCAAGTAAAGTGAATATTGTCTGTATTTAAGTGTTACGTTCTACTTTCAAGGCAATTTTACTTGAACAAACAACAATTGCAGTTACTGTTTGTGGATAGCTGCCCACACTTTCTCTATCATGTATCTATTTATGTTTGAACACATTTTATTCAATAAAACGCTCAGTCCCTGAATGCAGGTGCATTTTTCAGCCGCTCAAAGGAAGCAAAGAGGAATGCTTTCTCAACAAAACAAATATTGGGGTCAGATTGGTTCCAATTTTGCTTACCCAGAAATACAAGTGGACCTGCGTAACAATTTTCTTTTTACTAAATTGAGATGGACTGTTTGAAAAGCTGTGTAAAAGCTTTCTGAATTGAAGCTGACCCCAACATTGACCGAAATGGATAGTAGAGTTACTAAAAGGATGAAAAGGTAATGTCTTTCTTGCTCATTCCTCAATGGCTTTTGAAAGAAAGTGGGGGAAATGTGTTTGGGTTGAACGTACTCATTATTACACTGGGGTATCGAGATATTCTCTGCAGGACCCAGGCACGTTGCAAAGACACTCAGATTTTTTTTTCTTTCGATTCTATGTTGTTTTTTCGTGAATTTTTGATTGTGTGTGTACGTGTTCCCAAACATGAATTTGAGTCCCTTTATTGTAGTGAGAACTGTAACATATTTTCAAGGAGAGAACATTGTATTGACTTTAATTACATTTTCAATGGATAGTTTTTGAGAAAGGACTCAATGTATTGTTATGTAGCATTTGTGTTCCAAATAGCTTCTAAAACCTCTACATGTTGGTATGTGAAGACAGAAAAGACCTATAGTCAGTATAGTCAACTGAATGCCTTGAGCGCAGTGTAACATTTGGCACGAGTAACAGTATCCGGTAATGATTGCCCTCTCAGATGCTCTCATGTTAGTTGCAACAGATCCTGAGGGAGCTCAAACCCTGATCATTTCCTCTGCATTCCCTCCCCCTGGGAACAATTCAACTGCTCTAGTTATTACCTTGTTACATTATTGTTATTGCATTATTGTTACATTGTCGCTCTGTGCGTGGGTCACACGGGGACACTGCGCTGCATTCCTCTGATTGAAGACACCACAGTAAATTATAGATTGCTGCTTCACGGATAGGGATTTAGATGTATAAGTTCATCTGTTAGAAGACTCACTTTACCTTTCACTGACAGGAAAGGTTTGTCAAGAAGATAAATACAACTTTACAGTAAGTGGAGGTTGGGACAAACAGTTTAGTTTAGATCAATGTATAGACTGGAAAAGCTGGATTTTTGCCACATTTTAGGGTTAGGTTAATATACCTACCAGCACCTCTAAAGCTCACTAATCAGCGAGTGGTTTAATCCGTTGAAAAAACATAATGTATAAAAATGCTTTAAAGCCCCAACTATCAATATTTTATATGAAATAAAGTTGAAATGACTATGTGTAATGTGAAAATTGTCGTGACAAACTCACCAAAACTATTATGTAGCTGATTTTTTTACGTCTGGAAATTCAGTGTTTGGCTTTACTTTCACTGCTCTCATTACCGATTTTCTAACGGTAACAGACAGCTGTTGCAGAAGCAGTCGATACTAAAATGTGGAGAAAAGCAATTGCAGTCTACTGATTGGTCGCAGAGAATCATCACTACAGTTGTCCCTCCAAAACAAATCCAAGACTTAAAAATAGCCAAGCTACCGTCAAGAGCTAGCACAATTTCTTTAATTTACAGAACCAGATTTTAATGGCAGCCACAAAAAGAATGCTGAGTCAAATGACGGGTCCAGACAATTCTCTTTTAAGGTTGCCAATGAAGGCATCCAGCAGTTTAGGTTGAGCAGAGCCTTTGCATAAGGAGGACATTTCTCAATAGTCAAGCATTTAGCAGGTTTACCGGTGCTGCTCTAAAGCTTGCATTGACCTCTGACCTCTCTGGCGAGGATCAATAAAGTATCATATTATTATATTATATGGCATTAGATAAAAGGTTTTGCCATACAGCCCAATAACGGCTGGCACTTCACTTAGGTAATGTTACAAAGTAGAGCGGTATTGCTTCACCGGTCATAAGTGTATCAATGTTAAATGTTTATTGTGTATCCTTTTGCCTTTGTTTCTCAGAACCTTGCTATCAGCCTTAAGATTAATATGATAGCACTTTGCCATTATGGGAATAGACAGCGAAAGCAAAGAAAGTCCATTGGCTTGTAGATTGGATCACCAGGAAATCAGCCGTTTAGAATGTCACTTCCATATCAGTTTATAGATTATCATTCTGAGTAATTATCATATGTTTTTTTCTACTGACAAGTCCATAACTTCAGTTGACAATGCAGAAATTGATCAACAGCAACAAAACTCCAGCCATGCTAGCTACTGTAGCTAAGAGAGTGCTAATTTCTACAAGCTTATTTTAACAATGAAGGTGTGGACAATTCTAGCATGCTGACATTAAGCAGATATTTACTGTGCTTGCAATCTTAGCATAGTTTGTTATCATGCTAATAATGCAATTGCTAACCGGAAATAGAGCTGTCTCTAATGGGAATGTTTATTTTTACAATAATTTGGTCATAAACCAAGTTGATGGACAAATTACATTTAGGATATTTTTTCCTGAGGGGAACATGGATTTTGTAACAAATTAAAGGCTAACAACCTCATAGTGGCACTAGTCTAAAAGTGACTGAAGTGAAGGGATGACAAAAGTCAGTAGGATACATTATCTGGGAAACAATGGATGTCTGTGTGACATTGTATGTCAATCTGATGTCAATCCATCCGAAAGAATGTTGAAATATTTCAGACTGGACCTGAGTATTGGAGCAACTCTGAGACATTGTTCATTTACTGCACTTTATTCGACTTGGCTCTACCTTTTTTTGGTCTTCCACAAGAGAAAAGTTCCTGGCACATGATCCTTTTTCGAATACCCTTCAGTTAAACACTGCATACCACTGATTGGTCAGAATGGATTTTCAAAAGCGCATCTTTGGACATCCTGCACAAACACGGCTTTTTAAATAGCAAACCACTGTTTTGCATTTTCCTTTTCTTAATCAACCCAGGTTTAAAAGAAATGGCAGAAAACTACACAGAAAGAGTTTGTGAAGTCCCCGTTTACAACACAGCTAAGCTAACAGCACCGCCCATAACTGAATAGGTACTATCTGCAGTGGAAACCTGGTGAGTACAGTCGAGTGAAGTAGAGCCCTTACATATGGTATGGTGACCCTTGTTATATAAGCACAGGCGGAGCCCTCTACTGGACTCTATGGGTACTACCCCTTGATCATATCATGCAAGCATTCATCCACTGAGACTTCTATAAACTTGTCTCCCTTGAAAAAAAGATCTATGATCTCAAGGGACAATCTGGATAAATAAAGGTTAAAAAAATATATAAACGTAGCCGGCCCCGGGGCGGGCCTACCTGAATCCGCGCGCACCTCACCGTATAAAAGGAGGCCTCGCCTCGGCATAGGACAGACAGTGCCCCGAGTACAGGGCTCCGCCTGTGCTTATATAACAAGGGTTACCATACGTAACCCCTCGTTATACCTCACACGGGCTCCGCCCTCTACTGGACTCTATGGGTACAGTGGGTGGAGCCCTGTTGTATACACGCGCTGTCGTCCAACAACACCGTTCCATC